GGAAGGGTCTAGATGGGATTAAGGGTAGCAAATAGCCTGAGGTGATCTGGAGGTAAAGGACAATGAAGGGCTGGGCTAGGTTAGGTTAGAGGTAATGGAGAATTGAAGGTCAGAGTCACAATGAAAGGACAGTTGAAAGGATTATTTTGGCAGGAACCCATGCCTCAGGCAAACACCAAGGACTGGGCCACTTGGGAAAAATTCAGGGGCTTTTCCTTTGTGAGGTCCAGATCCCAAAGACAAGGTCTTTTCCTTTCAAGGGTTCAGATTCCATCCCCATCAGTATGATCTGGATGAGGAGCCAGCAAAAGAGACAGAGAAGGAAAGGTCAGAGAGGTAGGAAGGGAACCAGGAGAGCGTAGCATCCTGAAAACCTACAGAGAAGAGTTATCAAGAGGAGAGGATGATCCAGTGTCAACGTCTGTAGAGGTAACCAAGAATGTGGATAGAGAAAGTCACAGAAAGAAGGTGAAGTAGCTGAAGGTGCAGGACCCTCTGAGGAGGTGAGCTATGCCAGTTAAGTCCTCTAGCCTAGATGGGAGAGGGAGAAAGGAGAGCATTTCAATCATGTGTGACAGCTAGTAGAAAGGCATGGAGTGTCTGTCTTAAGCAAAAAAATAAGAAAGGTAGGTAGGAGCCGGGTTGTGAAGAAATTTAAAAGGTGAAGGAGGTAACCTATTCAGATTGACTTGAACTTTGAGAATTTAACTGGCCTGGGTAGGACTTCAGTATTGCTATTGTCTTAGCATTTTTAGAACAGTGGAAAAGCCAAACAACTTTCTAACTAGTTTTTCTTGAAATCACAGTTTCTGCTTTAAATTTTCAAAGAAAAGAGTTCTCTGTGGGGAAGCTGCTCTTCTTGTTCAAAAAAACAGTGAGTCTCAGAAAACAAATTAAAAAAAAAACAACACAAAGCTTTTTGTTTGTTTACCCGCCAAACTGGGCTGGAGGCAGTAAATGCTATAAACTGAAAACAATCCAGGAATGCTCATTGGTATCAGCAAAGAAGCACCAGACAAAGCCAAGCTATTATCTTCCAAGTGAACACAAGCCCACAGCTGCACCAAACCTGTGCAGCTGAGCTCCTGCTCCCAGGCAATGAAGACTATAAAATTCCAAATCACATTTTTTGAGAAAGCTCTCTAGTAAATCAGTCTCTTAAAGGACCCGCTGAAATACAGCCCTCTCCAACTGCCCTGAATAAACATCAGTACCACTCTAATTCTAATGATAAAACTGCATCAGAAAATGCAAGTCCAAGTTACATTGACCCTTGACTTTTTCCTGTGGGTGGAGAGGAAAAAATGTCAAATACAAAAGTTTCCCTCATTCTCAGAGAGAACTTCATAGACAAAGCTCTCCCTCAGAACCCTATCCCCTTTTACATGGTTGTTTGCAGTAACCTACACATTTGAAATTGGTGGAAGACAACTACAGAAGGCTGTATCCCAGCATTCCCTCCTCCAGTCTTCCACATTCCTAATGCTTAGAACAAAGGAATCCAGTGCAGTTGGTGCCTAATCAATTGCATCTATAGTGGCCAGGAGGCATGTTAGCTGATTTGTGGGGGAGTTTAAGTAAATACTCACCAAGCATTTGGAACAATGACAGAAATATTTATATCAATTACCGGAAGACTCTAATAAGAACTCTCTATTTCTTGGGCAAGAGTCAGTAGCTCTGTTCATCATAAACATGTGTCTGAGGTATCTCTGGGCTCAGAGAAAAAGGAGCTAATTAAGAAGTTCCACTTGCTTTTTCTTTTTTGGTTTTCAGTGTGAATTGGTTACATCAACAACCTAAACAGTACAGGTAGAATATATTCGGTTATAAAAACTGGGTACAGGAGATGGAAAAGGTTGTAGCTAGCTAAAATTGATGGGGAAATTTTGGGTTAGTGGGATGTAATTATCTAAATCAAAATATGAACACCCTGGCCCTTAAAGGCCAGTATCAGTTCTTTACCACCAAGAACAACGGCCACTATTTCACACTTTCAATTCTGCTTCTCTTCATAGACACTTCCTCCCCTACTCCAGGGTCACCTCGACTCCAAATATCAACATGTCAATTACAGCAGCTAGGAATTGTTTCTTCTCAGGTCTCTAGCCATTAGACACTGAGAACCATATTTGTTCTTAACTTTGTCTTTAATAGGGAAACTAAAACCTTCTTTATTGCCACAGTTATTGTTTTCATAGGCCATGATTCACTTACTGGTCATCCCAAATAGCCACCCACACTTGCTGGCAAGCCCCCCACACTCTCCTTTTCATTCCCTTACAATAGTTTCTCCAACCTTTGTGAAGAGCACCCTTTGAGGGGAGGGAGGAGAGCAAAGGGAGAGAAGAAGAAAAATTTGGAAATTAAAATCTTACAAAAATGAATGTTGAAAACTATCTTTACATGTAATTAGAAAAAAATACTATTAAGTGCAAAAAATACATTAAAAACAAACAAAAAAGTAGATTATTAAACTTGCAAACACATCAAACAACAGAAACACAAGAAAGGCAAAGAAATACAAATAAGAAAAGCAGAAGTCACAAAATAAATTATGCCAGTTAGGACAATTAAAATTTTTGAAAAAAGAGAAAAGGCATGTATTTGCTTAAAAAAAATAAAACCAAGGGATCAAGGGGAAAAAAAAACCCCTTTGAAATGACAGATGTACTGAGAATGAAGTTCTGGGTGGGGAAGAGCAGAAAAAGTGCCTAAATGTGTCTCTAAATGTCTCTAAAAGTAAGTATCTCCAAATGGAATTGGGGAAGGCTACCACATAGGCTCTACTCCCCTTCCCATTGGGAATTGCAGAAAACCCTGCTGGAGGCAGGCAGAGTGATAGCAAGCACAAGACAAGAAAGGCTTCCAATCTACCTATAGATTCTGAACTCCTGGTGAGAAACTCCGACTTTTACTTTCCAGGTCAGATTTGCTGGAGATCTTGAATAGGAGGTTGGGTGACTACTTGTCAGTGCTTGGCACACAGTAGGCTGTTCACCTGATGTTGTAGAAGAGATGGGCTACTGTTCTGGTACGGGTAAGACTAGATGATCCTATCCACTCAACAGTCACACTTATAGAAAATCTATTGCATCATAAAACCTCCTACTAAGGAGGTAGCTGGGTAGGTAAACATCGAAAAGAAGAGACATTGATTTGTTTCACTCAACTACTTTATTACAGGGAAAGGTTCTTATGGAGGGAGTCATTGGGAAGTGATGGTGATTTTTTAAAAAAAGTATCAATAAAACATTTAAAAAGAAAAGGAGAAATGTGTGACTTTTAAGGAACTACTTTCCAGCTAGAGTGTTATTAGTATTACAAAGAAGCCTGTGCTAATTTTTTACCATAAGGGTCAATGCAGTCATAAGATACTCCTATATACACACTCACCCATCAAGTCCAGCAAGTTTACAGGTATTACACACACACACAAAGTTGAGAAACAGTTCTGAAGACTTGACCTAGATGAGCTCAGCACAAAGTTTGAGATCTACGGGCTTCAGGTTACCTCTGGTCTAAAAACTTTTTCTATGGCATCAAATCTAAGTTGTCTTTGGCTGAGCATTGAAGGAAATAACAAGTTAGGTAAGGTAGTACTGGATTAAGTAGGCTGCATGGAAACATTTATTCTTTTTAAAAATGAGCTCTTTTGCTTTGGTAATTCTTCTAGGAAATGATTCCCCTGCAACACTGAGAATTTTGAGAAATCACATGTAAGTTTTCTTTCTAAATGAAATCTAATAGCCAGACTATTCCTCTTTTCCACAGAAGACTAATTTAAGATATTGAAGCATCTACCTTTAAGTAATATCAACTCTTAGTTATTCAGAGACTGATTGGCTATCCATTTTGTAAATCATCAAGCCACTCAGTCCTTCCATCTGACTATAGTCCACTTCACTACTGATTATCACCTCCATCAGAAGGTAAAAGTTTTATTTGTAAGAAAATTTTATTGTTTGTTATGAGAGGAGACTAATGCTTCCAGCAGGTTGGGGCATTCAATGTAGATTTTGCTTACCCGTATTTTTATTTTCTATACAGTTGGCACATTTGATAGTTGACTTTAACACTACTCTGTTCTCCCCACACCCAAGAACATTTAAATGACCAAACATTAGAATTCCTAAGACATAGCTATAGCCAACTGTTTAGTGAATGGAGAAGGGGGGTCATAAATTATCAACTTTTTTCAACTTAAAAGAAATGTCTAAAGAATTAGGTATTGAAATACCCAAAGTGGGTTATGGGTGGAGAGCACTACCTACTATCTTCCAAAAGCACCCATCCCCCAACTCTAGGATCTATTAGATTAGTTTCATCCAATTGAGTAATTCTACCCAAACTATTGTTGTCACGTCCAACTCTTCATGACCCCACTTGGGGTTTTCATGGGCAAAGATACTAAAGCGGTTTGCCATTTCTTTCTCCAGTTCATTTTACAGATGAGGAAACTGAAGCAAAGAGGGGTAAGTGACTTGCCCCAAGTCACACAGCTAAGTAAGTATCTGAGTATGGATTTGAACTCAGGAAGCTGAGTCTTCCTGATTCTAGGCCCAGTGCTCTATCTACTGTACACCTACTTGGACAGGTCTTATTAATATAAATCAAGAGCAACAAGAAATCTCAAAAACATTCCAAATTCGTGCCTACTTATGGTTACCTTTGATTTAAAAGAGATAGCTGAACTTATATCTAAAAACATTTGCTTCACTGAGCACATCAAATAATCTGAACAAGATTTGCAAAATTAGTCTTCAGTCTAAAACCTACTGTAGCTTTTTTGAGCAAGCAAGTTAGAGGATGACAGAATATTAAGAGTTATAAGAAACCTTTGAGATTAGCTGGTTTGACACCTACCATGCTCATGTTACCATGGGATGAGAAGCTTGGTCTCCAGACTCCTACTCCATTGCTCTTTGCATCACAACACACAATACCTTAATGGAATCTTTGTATTTGCATTTTCTAAGATGAAAACAGTTCCATGAAAGTACACTAGAAGTCATATTTTTATTTTATATTTAGATGATTTCATATAGTTACAAGAACAATGTTTGCCTTCATTTGGTTGAATTCCATCTCCAGAAACATGGGAAATGCCAGGACCCTTCCAAAGGCAATGAGTCACAAGAGATACTCTACGAAAGTCTAAGTTAGTGCTTAGCCCACACTAAGCACATTCACATTCTCATTCTCATTTTCTCTCTCTCTCTCTCTCTCTCTCTCTCTCTCTCTCTCTCTAACACACACACACACACACAAATGAAAATTTAAAAATGGTCAATATCATAGCAAGATAGAATTTGGCTTATTAAAATAAAATTTGACAATACAAATAGAAGAGATAGTCAATAAGAAGCAAAAACCCAAAATACAGTATATGGAAAAATACTCCAAAGTTAACACAACTTTTATGTTTTTTCAGTAAATATGTTTTTTTATTCTCTATTTACAGATGTTACAGAAAGGCATTAGTGACTGTGCTGGTGGGATAGTGGCAAATCTCACTTACTTTAGAGACTATAAGGGCCACAACATGCTACCAGGTGAAATTGGTAAAAATTCAAAGGCAAGTCCCATCACAGCAGTTAATGCCTTGTCAACTTTTTCTTCAGCATATCCTGAGGATGGATCAATTTTAGATATTGCCTTTTGGGAAATGACTTTGCTTTGTCAACATTCAGGGTTAGTTTTCTTTAAAATTAAACATCTAAAATGATACCACAACCTTCCAGCAGTTATGGGAAGATGAGGTGTGATAGGCAAGAAGAGAAAGAAACATTTAAGAGATGGAGCTTTTATCTGTAAATTATTCCACAACATTTTCACTGTGGTCATCTAAAATTTTTCCCCACTAAACCCCATTGGTACCCTCAAGCTAATAGTCCTTCCAACATCACTATGTAGAAACTCTGGCATTGCAATAAGTTGATTACTTAATAAAGGCTAATAATTTATTGTCTACCTAGAACCAATGGAAAATTAAACATTTTCCAGTCTTCCTTGGACATAGTTGACATGGGAGTGCAACAGTGCATCAGACATTATAAGAATAAATTATAGAAGCTTAAAAAATATTTCCTATTTTGCAAAGAATTCATCTATCTGCTTGTAATGAGAATCAACAGAACACAAGGAATTACCCCAGTCCAAGATTCTGACATCTCAAAAGCAAAATTTCTGTTTAGTTGGAGGATAAAGTATAGAATGGTCCTTATTTGTGATATTTGTAAAGAATTAGCAATGGCCCCTTCTGAAGGGAAAAGCATGCATTGGAGTAGGCACTGTCATATAACAGCATAATAATCTAAGAGACCATGAATAGTTCCAATGACCCTCAGGACAACAATTATACTACTTCTGCAAGACTGTGGGAATAAGAGCTACTCTTCTTTCTGACATGTATCTAACTTCAATTTCATTTACCCAAGCCAATCCTCTTCCTTGAACCATGATGGACATTGAAGCATTCCCTCAGACCAACTATTGCATCAAAGTGCTTCTGCCTATGGAATGACATTTGAGCAAACAGAGTCCAGTGGGGTTTTTCAAGCCTCTAAGCTCAAGTCTTCTTCCTCCTAAAGATAGTATTAGTTTAATGGTTTCTAGCCACTGGAAGGACTTGTTTTTGAAGTCATGATACATGCAGCCAGCACCTTCTCCCATCTTTCCCCACTGGCTGATTTGAAAAATTTCCATAATTTTTACATATCGAGCCAGTTAACAGACCCAGCCCTGAACATCCCTTAGAGACAACACTTCTGCACCTGTCTCTTCTGAGCTAGAGATAAATTCTAATGTGTGATTCCCAAAGAAGGAATGAGAATGTTCACAAAGTAACTTCCTAGTTACTAGGGACCAAGCTGAAGCTTCACTAAACAATTACTACTGCCTGTCTTAAACAAAAGCATCGAGTTTGATTCTAACTCACAGCTTTCATAATTGACCCCAACCCATGTCTTGGGTCAGCCTATGCTAAAATAATGTTAGTAAGCCCCAAAGAGCTTTACTTGCTAATAAAATGGCTGATCTAAGATTAGAGCAGCCACATGTGCTGTGGCTTCAGTATTAATTAAAGATTCAGAAGGGAAAGGGAGTCCATCTCAAAAAGCAAACTGTTCATTGGCCCAAACAATATAAAAGCTTAGAAACAATGTAACTGTTTTCTGATTCTGGTCCTGGGATAACTTCCTGCAAAAGGATGATTTAAAGCCATTTGATGGGATAAACAATAATGAATCTATCTGAGGTCCTAGGAAGAATGACCAAATGATTTTTGTGTTCCAATATGACAGTGCATAGGTGAGGTGTTCATGCCCAAAATACCCGCGGATCAGGCATAGGTCCGAACTACTGTTACTAACAAACAGGTAGATTACTGAAGGGACAATAGGCTTCAAAGTTATTCAAACTTTATGAAAAGGTGAGTTACAGGCAGGGCAGCAGGGCAAGCATGCAGACTGGAATGAGCCTTAAAATTGGATCTTCAGAAAACACTGAAGATGGAACTGCAAACTCAAACATTTGCAGGTGCATGCATGGACGTATATATGATGGAGTAAGAGGAGAAGCTGGGGGTGGGGTGGAGAAAAGCAAGGAAGCAGTCATAAGCTATCAGGCTGGATCCTGAAAAAGTGAATGTTTGGTGTGACAGGAGAGTCAGCTATTAAAAAGCCCTAATGAATACACAAGGCCTTTCGGGAAGGAAGAAGTATTTATTGTTGATTGCTATGGTACTCAATACATTTTTAAAAATCTGAGCACTCCATCTAGCTATGTATGTCTGGAGTTCCAGTTCTATATTCCCTTAGTCTTCTCATGAGACTAGTTGTAAAATTATCACAAAAGGCACGTTGTGAAATTGAGATGGGCCACGTCACACATTCAAGCAGACTGAGAGCTAGGGAGCAATTTAAAAGGCCATGGGGCACTTTTCTCGGAGTTTCTAGTTTTGTGTTGCAAGGGGAAGACCTCCTACAACCATGAATGTTGAATTGAATTGGAAATTAAAGAACAGTTCTGTCAGTTTAGCTCCATGAAAGGGAAGCCCACCCAGCAGAACCAAGCATAAGGTCTATGTTTTAGTCCGAGCCACAAAGAACATGCTGTAAGAAAAGAGTAAGCATCTGAGTAATGTGGGGATGTCATTTCAGATTGAGATTTCAAGGGTTAACTGCAGACCAGCTCAAGAAGTCTATGCACATGACCCATTTGAGTTGCCTATGGAAACAAGCAGACTGTTTGTTTCTCCTCCTGTGAAAGCTCACTTGAGGCTCTTGTACCAGCGCATCACCTTTAGGAATCTACAACACAAAAAAACAAAAACTGTGTGTTAGCGAGAAAGGCAACAGGTAGGGAGTGGGCATATTGCTCTAGGTTGCAAATGTCCCACTAGGCAAAGGATAAAAGGGAAGTATGGGGGTCAGAAGTGTCTAGAGCAGACATTACCAAGGTAATGTCCTTGGGATAAGTAACTTTCACTGTTTTGTCATAGCAAACTATTTTCCAACCTAGATTAGGAGAGATGTCTACTGGAAGACTGAAAAAACAAGTTCGCCTGAATGACTATTTCTTGTGATTTTAGTTGCATGTGAAAGGAAAGAAAGCAATATTTTATTGATAGAAAAAATAATAGTGGTTCAATTTCCTTTCCTTAGTTGCAATTCTGCCTTTTTTTTTATTGGGGGTAGTATAAAATCTTTGTTTTAGTGACCAAGTAAATAGAGCTCAATGTTTATCAGGCAGTAAACAGTGAAAGTTCTTCATCTTGAGGAGTGCAGGAAAGCAGCAAGAAAAAGAAACACAGACTTTCTAAGCCCATAAATACATATATGGTAAAGAAGAAGGAGAAAGTTATCACGGGTGTGGGGGAAGCCAGATTTTTATATGCATTTGGACAAAAAATGCCTGACTGGTAAAGGTAAGACAGTTGAGCATTTGTACTAGACAGAATAACTTGCTCAAGAGGGTAAAAAAAAATCATTTAAAATACACAATCATGAGAAAATATAATGTTTATTAGAGGTGGATGTAAGGATACAGCTAGAAAGTAATACCGGACAAAGAGTTTTTCTTTTAGAATAGGAGTAGAAAGAAACAATCACGTTGGCTACATTCAAACAAAACTTACTCAGAATCAAAGTGTCTCTAATAAAGTCAAGTCTGGAACAGCCAGCAGGGACCCTAGCTACCAGTGTAACAGTCCTTGTGGCTTAACCAGCAGTTATAAAAACAAAAGGATCATTAGGCAGCAGAATAATAATCAATAAAACAAACATTTATATAAAAAAGGCAAAAAGTTAAAAACAAGTCAAATTCAAGTAACCCTTTAGTTTTTAAATTGCAGTATATACAAATATTTTCTGTGGGGAATTACTGACATACTTAACAGAAAGACAATTTAAAAAATAATCCCTTACACAAAGGAAAAAAGATGTCACAATCCAATTGCCCAAAAGTTAGCTATGATATTGTAAATATTTTGGCAAGCATTAAATAATTAGCTACATTGTAAAAAGTGCACTGGCATCAATAAAAACATAACCACTACTCCTAGTTATGGACACGGGAAAAGTAGCAGTTGTTCCTCAATGGATCAGTATTACAGAACTGTGGGTTGAGGTATGACAGATTTATAAACCAGGTAGTACACATGAGGGAAGAATCCCCCAGAAAGCATAAGCAACTCTGAGAGTCTGGCTAAGATTACAGAAGTAGAACAAAATTTGTTTACAAGAGTAAGCAAGATTTGTTTTTGCTCTTTTTTGTACATTTCAACACAGAGCATTTCTGATTAAAGAAAGCAAAGCCTATTTGGAACAAAATGGCAAGCCTGACAGAATATATCCTTCTAAGAACTAGCCTTTCATGTAGGGAACTTTAAAACATTGAAATTTTCTTAGGGCTCTGCACATAAAATGAAGTGTGATTCCATATGGAATCTTATGGAATATGAGTCGTAGCTGTAATCAGATTAGATAACAATGGTATGAAAAACTCATGCTGGTGAGATTCAGTGGATCATTTAAATATTTCATACACTGAAATAATCAAAGCTAACAAAATATTTTCACTGAGCTGTCAACATATGCATTCTGTTGTTTTGGCTACTAAGCAATTTATTATAAAAATAATCAGTCAGGCTATGGAAATTAAAAACATCCCCTTTGCAAATCTATTAATATGTTTTCTGACTCAATGTGTGCAATCATTTGTGGAAAATACAGGGCATTAAAGTTTTTTAAATTGTGCATTACGAGTAACAAAATGGTTTCATTGACTTCACGTTAATTCAGTATTTATTGTTGCCTTCAACAGGGAAAAAAACCAACATTTGAGTAATGAACAAATGTTTCCTTTTACCCTGGGATTTCTCAATGCAAAACTGTACTGAAGCCTAAAGTTAGCAGTCACAGCTATTAAGCAAAATGGGGAAGCATTTGTGACACACTTAAAAAGGAAAAAAAGCCTTGTGGATTAAATACTACTGTATTTTCTTATTGTAATCTGAATAAAATTTTAATAATGCAATTAAAAATGCTTGTAATCAAAATGGGCTATTATATCAAGAATGGGATAAAAGAAAAAAATCTCTAAGATTGTTGAAAAATAAAAACTGCTAAACTTTTTTTGCTGGTTTCAAAATAGTAATCTAACTTTGGGGTTATAGTTTGGTAAAATAGATTTGGTTTAATCAAAAACATATAAGGGTAAAATTAGTCTAAAATTAGACTACATGAAGGCAGCTTTTGAATCTTGGATATGGTTTTGATGCATGTGAAATATGTAAACTCAATTCACAAAAGGCTGAAAAGATTCTGATAACATAAAAACAAGGACTTTAGTGAAAGACAATGTCAATCAATTCTGGGCCTAAAGTTTCCTAATCTGTAAAATGGGTAGATGAAACTAGATAATTTCTAACGTTCCTTCCAGCTCTAACATCCTAGGGTTTTATGATTCTAATTCATACCATTTTTGCTAGACTTAAGTAACATAACATGCATTAATATGTTTTCCAAATAGCTTTGTAAAGAGCTTTATTTTGTAAAATGAGCCCAAACAAGCAAAATGCTTATGTTTCTTAACTAAAAGAAATGTGAATTTCTTTTTTTTTTTAAGGCAGTTGGGGTTAAGTGATTTGCCCAGGGTCACACAGCTAGTAAGTGTTATATGACATTTACTTATATTTCAAATGGGGACATATGTATAAATTGGCAGTTAAATGAGCTCTCCATATGGGCATTTCATCTCAATAAGAAACTTATTATCAAATATAATCAATGAAAAGCCAGTTGTACAATGCATGAATCCATTGTGTAACTGTGAAAAAAGAGCACACTGAGGAATATATCCAGTTCTTAGAGAAGTTCTACCTGAAACAGTCACAGATGGGGAAGGAGAAACTCCAACAAAAAAAAAATTAATCTTATTAAATGTAAGTCATAGCACCTTTGGCATTTTTGTCCAAATAGACTTCGACGTATGAAGTGGGGACATAACCTTCTTCATCTTCATTTCTCCGAATTCGTGTCCAGCCATCACCTTTGTCTTCCTCTATGACATATAATATTTCTCCTTCAGCTATTGAAATCGTTCCTTCATTCTGACCTGAAAAGTTAATGGCACAGTGGTTTAGCTTTTTAGTCAAAGTAACTTCAGACACTTGGGTCCACATCACTGGTAAAGATTCAGGCACTAATATTTATTTGAGGGGCCTCTAGCCTTTTATTCTCTATAACCTCTTGGCACAGCCCTGCATGTTTTCCTTTCTTGCCTTCTGTAACATTGCATGGTCCTAGTTCTCTTACCACAGTGACAGATTGTTTTCAGTCTCTTTCCCAGGTTCTGATTTCTCTTCCCTATCTTATCAATGTCATCTTTTCCCACGGTTTTGACTCTTACCTTTAAGCGGTTGATTTCTAAAGCTCTATCTTCAGCTCTGACCTCAAACATGAACTCTAATCCAGTATTATCAGTTGCCTGGTAGACATCTCCAAATGGTTGACCTGGTGGCATCTTAAACTAAGTTCATTATTTTTCTTTACAAATTAGCAACTTCTGATTTCCTTATTTCTATTAATGGTAATACCATTCTCCTAGTCATCTAGGTTTTATCTTTGAGTTTTTCCCTTTCTCACTACTCATATGGAATCAGTTACTAAGTCCTATCAATTCTTCCTTCACCTTGGTTCAGGCCTTCGTTTCCTCTGTTCTGATCTACTTCCTACTAACAGTCTCCTAAACAGTCTCCTTATTTTTAATTTCTGTCCCTTCCAATCTATTCTACATTCTCATAGCTGATTACTCTTCCTGATTATATCCCTTCTTCTGCTAACAAAACCTTAAATGGTTCCCTATTGCCTGTATAGTAAGATTTACATGGTGAATTTTTTAAGGCCAGAGATGATACCTTACTCATCTTCATATTTTCAACAATACCTGGGACAGGACATTGCACATAGTAGATACCCACAAGTATTAGGGGCTTAACTAGTATTTCTTAAATAAATAGATGAAATTATAATTTATGGCAACCACTATAATTAAGTTTATTCAAATTAGACAAAATTATGAAATAAGTCAACAGGCTCAGTAATCAGAAAAGGGAAAACAACAAGCAGAAGAAAATACTGAATCACAGGAAAGACAACAACAACAACAAAAAAGCAGTCTGAACACACTCATGGGAAGGAGATTGTGTGGTGGAGGTGAAGGAGGGATAGGTTCAGAATCAGAGGTTCTAAACTTAAATTTCAGCTCACCTCTTCCTTATTGCCTCTGCTACCCTGGACATGTCACTGGACCTTGTGGGTTCTACGTGTATTCATGTACAATCATGGGGCTGCTCTACATGGCCTTCAGTTTAAAGTTTTCAATTTTAATCAGTACGACAGCCATGTGCACTATTATGTGTCCCAAGGACCTATGAAGAAGCATGTTAGCCTCCTCCTGATTGAGAGAGGATCACCGCAAGGTAGGGAAACAGACATGCAGTTCTGGACATCGTCACTTTGTAAAACTGTTTGGCTTTACTATGCTTATTTGTTACAAGGATTTTTCCTCCTCCTTTGGCTCAGTTTTTAATTGCAAGGATGGAGAAAGGGGTAGAATATAATAAGGCTAAAAAAGAGAGCCATTAAAACATTTTTTAAATGAACAGAAGAAAAGGAAGTTTAAAAGGAAGCAGATAAGCAAGACAGTTTTTAAAATAAAGTGTAGAAATAAATACATATGTATACATGTGTATATCTATCTATCTATATACTCATACACACACATATATATTTAAAGCAAGTGATATGAAACAGAGATTTAAAGTATCATATGCAATACTCTTTCTGTGTTCTGCTATGTGTGAGGAAAAGTTCATTTTTGTGTAGTTTCAATTTTTTTTAAAGTAAATTTTAAAAAATTCTTTGACGCAGGGCAGCTAGGTTGCAGTGGTTAGAACTCTGACCTTGGAATCAGGAGGACCTGAGTTCAAATCTGACCTCAGACACTGATACTTCCTAGCTGTGTGACCCTGGGCAAGTCACTTAACCCTGACTGACTCACCAAAAAGCAAAAAAAAAAAAAAATAAAAAAAATCTTTGAAGCTGAGAGACATATAGAATAAGATCATTGAGTAAAGAACGGTAACAGGAAGAGATACCTTCAAATGTATACAGTGCTTTACAGGTTCCTATGGTAGGGAGAGGTTCTTCATCATCAAATTCATCATCAAAGTCTGTGGCCATCATCTTCAGCTCATTCTCCTGACTCTGTTCCTCTGTATAACTGCCATCTGGGCTGCTCAAGAAAGAATAATACACAGCAACTATAGCAACTAACTTCAGTAGAAATACTCAACTAATGTATTCAACAAAAAAAAGTACTTATGGTCACCTTAGTTACAATTATGAGCATCCTTTTTCTTTTTTCTTTTTAGGCAATTGGGGTTAAGTGACTTACCCAGGGTCACACAGCTAGTTAAGTGTCAAATGTTTGGTCTGAGGCCACATTTGAACTCAGGTCCTCCTGACTCCATATGAGCATCCTTTTCACATGCTTTTATCATTCCATTTTAAGTTCTAAATTTTCACCATGCAAGAAATTATTTCAAGTTTACTTCAGTTTTAAACCTGTTTCTCTCTTGTGTCTTCTGATACTCACAGAGACCTAGGTGACATTGCATCCCTGGTCATCCTTTCCATGTTGGTTGTCCTGTCTTGCAACTTATTGGTCCTAGTGGGGTGAAGGTAGAGTAGCACAGAAGACTCCTTGCTTTCTTGTTTCTTATGACCACTGGCAGACTCTCCCTCTACTAACATCCCTCAGTAATTTCTCTTCCTTCAAGGTTCTTGCCATCTAATTTATCACACAGCTCAGATTCGATAGCCAGAAGCAGCTGGGTGGAGATGTAATGCAGAGAGCACTGGCCTGCAGCCAGGAAGAGCTGACTCTAGATTAGTAGTCCTAATCCTAATCTCCTAGTCCTCAATTCTAAACTCCTGATCCAGCCTCAGACACTTACTAGCACTATGACTCTAGGCAAGTCACTTAACTTCTGTTTGCCTCAATTTCTTCAAGTTTGAGACCTCATCTCCACTAGCGTAGACTATTCCAATAGCCTTCTAATGGTTTCCCCATCTCAAATCTTTTTTGCACTCCAAGCCATCTTCTATACTAAAGTGCTCCAACTGCTGCCAAAGTGACATTTCTTAAAGCTCAGGTCTGGCGATTATGTCATCCCTTGTCCCTACTCAATATCCAATATAAACTGTTTGCCACTTAAATCTCTTCCCAACTAGCTTCTTATCTTTGAAACTTGCTTTCATACCATTCTCCTTAACATAATCTGCATTCTAGCTATTCTGGCCTACTTAGTACTCCTCATACACAACACTCTTCATTTCCCAACCCCAGGCCTTTTCCTTGGCTGCCCTTAAGACTGGAATACCCTAACTCCTCACCTCTGCTTCTTAGAATGCCTTCAAGACTCAATTCAAAGGCTACTTTCTACTAGATGCCTGCCTTTCCCTGTCCTCTGGCCCTTCCTGTTTCCCTCTCGAAGGTTATTTACTATCTCTTCTATATTTATCTTGTATTCACCTCTTTGGCTATATGTTGTCATTCCCCCATTAGAATGTAAACTACCTGAGATAAGGGACTGTTTTGCTTTTTCTTTGCACTGGGCCTGGCCCTATAGTAAGCACTTGATGGTTGTGGGACTAGTGGTACCCAAACATGTATGCAACAGATCCTTTTGTATAGTGCAACAGAAGCCAAAAGTTCAAAAAAGAGCGGCTCTCTACAGGTACGGTACCTCTCCCGGTCTTGTGCACAGTTATTGACTGATGGTGTAGTCTGTGCTTCATACATTCCACTCTGTCGTCGGGCCTGGTCCCCTCGGACTGGGAGTCTGCCTTCAACTTCAGTGAGCCAGGCCTGGAAATATAAAGGAGCACTTTATACTCTTTTCTAACATATTCAGAGAAACAAAACACGGAATCTGATTTTACTGCATTATAGGGCAATAGAGCATGAAAGACGATGCAGAGGAACACATATGGAAAGCACCTTTAATTTTTACTCCTCCCAGCTTTACAACTTGCCCTCCCCTAAAAAAAACCTCCCACTACACTTTTTTTTTTGGTGAGCTAGTCGGGGTTAACTGACTTGCCCAGGGTCACACAGCTAATAAGTGTCAAGTGTCTGAAAACCCGATTTTAACTCAGGTCCTCCTGACTCCAAGGCTGGAGCTCTATTCACTATGCCACCTAGCTGGCCCTATACTTCATTTTTAAAGAATCAACAGTAAAGAAACCTTTTCTGGTAGAACTCAGGAAACCAAGTGGAAAAAGTTACTTTCATCAACATTTTAAACAGAAAGGGAAGGCAGAGGAGAGTATGTTTGAGGCATATTTGGAAATCTGTAACCTACTTGTAATATCCTCTAAAGGGAATTCAACATTCATTCTCACTTTTTCTTTCTGTATTTTTGTATTCTCACCTTTTAAAAATATGTTATTTGACTCTGTGAATAACCTTGTATAAGTAGTCAGTTAACATTTTTCCCATGCTTCATTTTTAGTTGATAAAAAGGCTTTACTTAACCAACATGAGTATTCCAATATGCATATATACATACGCACACACATAGATGTATATAATATGTGTAAAATCACACTGCCTTTGCTCATCTCTTAAGACATTTCTATCGTATTCTCTGTATTATATTCTCCATTTTTTATAGACCTTCACAGATCACATTTTCTACTGACGCTTCTCATAGGATGAATATGTTTTCATTACTTTTTAAAAATCTATTTTTAATTTACTAAGCAGAGAATTGTAAATTATTTAGCATTGGTTACTTGAATACATTTATTATTATATCCTGATATGATATATCAGGAGAAATTGTCTTCAGGTATGAAAGGGAAATTGGAGAGCTTTTAAAACATTATAGAATTTGTTTTGCTTTACTATGCATATTTGTTACAAGGATTTTGTTTTCTCTTTAACAGTAGTAGGAGGTTAACAGGAGAGAGGGGTTAGAGAAAAGGCAGGCCGCCCAAAGCAAGAAATGAATGTTGAAGAAACATTTTTATAAAATGCGCAGGAAATGAACAGAAGGAAAGAAAGAATGCTAGGAAGCAGAGCTATTTTGAAAATTAAATGATGAAATTATTATATATTTAAAAAAGAAAAGCAAGCTGAATATAAAATAGTTTTGCAATTTCATGTCTGATTCTCTTTTTTTCCTCTGCTATGTAAATAAAAATGTTCGTTTTATTTGGTGAATGAAGAATTAAAACAAAAACACAAATAAAATCTATATACAACTAGCAACATTTCCATAAGATGCTACTAAAGAGTACCTTAAAAGTGATCCAATTAAACCTGTGTCCAATGGATTACAATAATCTTTTGCATCTGGCTACAATCTATTTATAATATGAATCTAGAGCTGTAAGAAAACTGTAAGAAATCAGCCTCAAAGTCAAAACCATGTCTATCTTGATTTTAGTCAATTATGCCATTTATATGGTAAGAGAGGCTTCATGATACCAAGCTGCTTCCTATAACAATGTCGTTTCAAATTGCTGCTTCAATAACACTTTCCTCCTTATTCCCTCTATACCTCAAATTTCTGCACTTCTAGTCGGAGTTTTTCAATATTTTGTCCAACTTCTATCAACTTGTGATCCAAACTGCCTGGGTCTCCCATTTGTGGATTCTTTATGTAGACATCTTTCATTTTTGTTATGGCATCTCTACAAGAAATGAACATATCAGCAAAGGTTAATGTAGCAGCTCTCTCACGCGCTTTCTCTCTCTCTCTCTCTCTCTCTCTCTCTCTCTCTCTCTCTCTCTCTATATATATATATATATATATATATATATATATATATATATATTCTTATCTAGTGTCTTACTATTATTCTTTTCCAAAAAATGTAGCACAAAAGAATGGAAGGCAGATTCTATCTAAAACTGAAAATTTTAAAGGAATCTCATTATTACCTGAAAGTCAAAAACAAAATTTGCATTTTTATGCTTTGGCATTAAAATTCTAAATTGGGAAAAAGTCAAAATAAAAATGTACATTCCAAGTATATAACAAAACTTCAACTGGCATCTTGGGGCCTATGGGTTATCTGCCATTCATCTTAGGGAGAAGCAGAATTGCTCTAGAAAATGTTTTATACTATTCCAGTTGTTAAGAATCAAATTAATGCCCAATGGTTGGTATTGGTAACTGGCTGGCAAAAAGAAAGCTTTAAATTTATATCTTGTTAGATTATATAACATTTTCTGATATCATGATTTTAGAATAGGGCCCACAGTAGCTTAGAAGCAAGGAATTCCCCCAAAGAGCTATCAGTTGTGTTTTTGAGCAGTTATTTCTGGGTCTAAAGATTGTTATTAACTAAGTAGCCACTTGAGAAAGCGTGCGTGCGTGCGTGTGTGTGTGTGTGTGTGTGTGTGTGTGTACGTACATATATACATATATGTATACACACATCTGTTCACTAGAAAGCACTTTAGAGTTAAAACTTCTCAGAAGCTACATTAAATGCATGTGCTAGAGGAGATAAAGCCAATTTTTACTGAGCTACAAATAAGAATTTTGAGTCTCGGGACCAACTTTATTTGATTACTCATCACTAGCAATGACTACAGCTCAAAGTTAAAAAAAGGCTCCCTTACATCAGACAATTATAATTCTGTATCTTTCTCTGCTTACTGTGAGGGAAGGTTGAGAAAACAAGTAAGCAGACAGAAAGCAGACTTATTTTCTATATCTCAATGCTATATTGAAATGTTATCATAATTTTTTACTGTGGCTAACTGATCATACCTTAACTCACTCATCACACAGTTCTATTGTGATCAGGCATAAATAAAAGTAAAAACAAAACAAAACACCCAAACCCATATATTATAGCAACTCTCCTTCTCTAGTTATTGACTCAACTTGGAACTAAACAAGCTAATTCTGCCTGTTGTAAATAAGCACTGCTCTAAATTGCTCAAACTATCCTGGCAAATTGCCACACAGATGAGAAGAGACATTGAGAGAGGGACAACTCAAAGTGCTGCTTTTCAATCAGATGATTAAATATTATCTCATAAAAACATGAAAGAGGAAGAAAAAACAGTGCTGCTTATTCCAGGAAGTATGAGGAAAGCAGTTTAAAGTAAAACGGCAGCTAATGGAATCTGTCCCTTTTGTAGAATAAAGATTTATTTTTTTGTTTTTGTTCAGGATATTTGCATCCACATAGAGTCCTTATATGTTATTCCCAAGAGAAATTGGTGATTCCCCAAAGCTGCTACTACTATATTATCATACACCAACATACCTAATGGCTGTTTGCATAATGGGATAGTCTATAATTTGCAGTATATCAGTTTTCCTAGATGCCATCAAAGCACCACACAAGAAAAAATGAGTATAATTTATTCTTATTAATGTACATATGTAGGCTGCTTCCTATTCATACTTGAAGAGCGGTCAGGCTTTCAGAACCAGGATGATGACCAAAAAAGTCATTCAATTTCCTTCTCAGATAGATTAGGCAAAGTCTTCTCTACAAATTCATTAAACAAGGCTTCTTGCTAACTATGTAGAATTTTTAATCCAAAGCTCAGATATAATACAAATCTGCAATAAAGCAGTTTCATAGAAGTAGCTATGACTTCTACTTTCTATTATAATGCATGCATGCACTATTTTAAATTAATTTAACAAACACTTAGTAAGCATCTGTAATAGTATATGCAAGGCACTAAATTTAGGTACTAGGGCTACAAAGACAAAAACAAAAGCACTGACTTATGTATTACCCCTATCCAAAAACTAACACTTTCATTCATCCTTGTTAATGAAACAAAACTTGCAATTCTTAATGAGGAGTGTTTGATCTATTCTACCTTTGATCTGTCTCCTTTTGGATTTCTTTATTTAATTCATCAACTTTCTGCTGCAGTTTTTTTCTTCTTTGTTCTGGTGGAAGGTGGCTGAAGTCCTCTGGTCCTGCACCCTACGGACATGAAAATGTAAATGAGATCTGAGTTGAAGGACTCCTGAGGGATATACCTAGAAAAGAAACTTAGTAAAGGAAGATAAGAAAAAAAAACACCTCTAAAGTAATTCGGAGCAGTAATTGTTTTTTACAAGAAAGGTTTCTTTTCACCTTGACCCCCTGTTAACAAACAAAATCAATGCATGCAAGCTACAGATAGCTCAGCAACCATTTCCTGTTCTGTTCTATTGCCAGCCAAGTGTGCTCCAAAAAGAATGGCTATACTGCTACAGAAAAGTATATATTCCAGGAAGTGAAAGAATAAATGGTACTCACATTGATAATAAGCACTTGAAAACTCATTGAAATAGATATTTCTCAGTCAACTACAAAACTATTTAAAGGGATATATAGTTTTTCACACAAGCTAATTGTCAACCCTTCCTTCACAAAATCTTTCACATACGAAATCAGTCATAACTATGATTTTCTCCTAATCAATGTAGTCCTTGCTATCTCTTCTTGCAGGGCTAAAGCTAAAGAGCTGCATAGACTTTCATCACAGTATAGTGACCGATCTCCATTAGGATCACCACATCTTCAGTTCAATCATAAAGACTGGGGGGGGGGGAGGCCGGCAGGGATATCAGCCTGGACCCAGTTTAATTTCATGAGAAGGTAGAAAAATACAACCTCATTTATCTGTACTTAATGCTCTGGGACTCTCTTCTCTCATTACCTTTATGGTAGTGTCAAAGTTCATATTGTGTGCCTTCCACTGCTTCCCAGTTTTTTATATCAAACCTCAGCTGTTTCTTATTCTAGCTGAAGAAATATACTGGTAGTCTTGAGTCATTCAAAAAGAGTTGCTAGCTTTCTTGTGCACATGCTATTTAAAAGCAGAAAATATGAAAAGTTAGAGTTTTTCTGACTTTGAGTATAGTATATCCCTTACTTGTCAAAAAAACTGTGACTAGGTTGTTGTAATTTCACAGAGAAAGAGGAGGAGAAATGAATTCAATTGACCTGGATAAGTCAAAGACACTATAAAGGAGATTTTGTTTAAAATCTCAATTCTTTTAAAAACAGAGATAGGGCTGGTTTGGGAGTGGGCAAAGAGAGGGGACTCTGACAATGTAATCTGAAAACCAAGTTCACTTTGCCAAGCAGCTTTAAATGAGTGCCTGTGACTTCCAGTTCCTAGGCTGATTATGTTAAAATGCCAGGCTGCTTTGCTTAGGAGTATGTGATTCAGCAAATATTTTGCCACAAAGACCATGCAGGGTTCTTTTCAGCTGAGCACTGGCAGAGTTTTCAAAGACTAAAAATTCTCCTCCCATACACTTGGAGTCACATTTTTACCAAATTAATTTTGACAAATGGCTTTTGTAAAAGTTGTATGTATAGTTGAGTGGGCAAAAAATTCTTGTGTACCACTAATTCCTTCAACAGCTCAAATATAAAAATAAGGGAAACCAAAATTATTATTAAGGGTAGTAATGACAATTTCATTCATGGACCTAAGCATATATTTTTTTAAAAATTATATTCTAAACATACTTTATATCTAAACATAAATCTGATATTATTTATTATAATATTAGTCCAAGGGATCAGGCATATTTATTCTATTTCTTTTCTATTTTTTTCCTTTCTCATCTACCCTAAATAAAAGAAGTGAAAGCCATAAATGTCCTTTCACGGGATCATACAGCTAAAACTGGAAGGTACCTTATAGGTCATCTAGTCCAACCCCCTTATTTTACAGATGAGGAAATGATGTCAGAGAGATTAAATGCCTTTTCCCTAATCAGATAGGTGGCAAAACCCAGAATTTTTACTCAGGTCCCTTGACTCCAAATTCATCACACTTTCCACAATGACTCATTTGGTTCAAAAGAACAGACTATACTTATGTGCTGATTTTCTTTTGGATAAGTCAATACTTCTAAAACTATTAAAACTCCAAGAGGTAGTCCAGTGTGGAAGAAATGGCTGGAAAGGGTATCCTGAGACACTGGCCTGGGTCACTTAACATCCCCATCGTCCTTACGTGCAAAATGAGTGAGCTGGATGAGATCTTTAAGGTGCCCTTTTAGCTCAACAATTTATGATTTTATTTCTATGAATTGTGGTGGTACAGTTACATTCAAAGTTTTAAGTAAAACACCTGGTATTTAAAGACCTTACAATAAACATGTAATCTTGTCTCATCATCATTGTTTATCTGCAAAGAAAATGACACTGATAAATTGCTTGGGTTAAAAATTGAGAAAGCAAGATAAAGCACTTGCCTCATACTATTAAATGCCACATTAAGGAAAAGGGGAGAATTAGAGTTTCTCAGCCACCTTTTTTTTCATTCTGTTAGTTCTGGTTTATCTAACCATGAAGGAGTTTTAAATTGTCTTCTGAGCCAGGTTAGATTTCCAAAATTGATTCTGTGATGCCTTTGGAATTAAGAAGAAACTGGTACTAACATTAGTACAAGTGATAAAAAATTTTACCAAAAGAATTCCAGGTTGAGCTTGGGATTAGTTTTCTCAAAGATCTTTGTCCCTCAGTAGTACAAAAAAGCTTTTATCATCCTGTCTAGAACTATAGTAAGAACCTTATATTTGCATATAAAACTAGATAAAGCAATTTCTAGGACATGTCTTAAATGTAGTATAATTGAAAAAGGGGACAAGTTGGCATTATACTATTTCAACAGCAAAGGCATAGCATCATTTAAAAGTATGTATATAGTTTCATGGCATAACATAAACAAAAATTTAATAATAAAATCAATGTTTATAGCCAGTACCAAAGCTTAGACTAGAGGCAAAGAATGAGGACCACAGAATTGCTGAGTTTTGCAGAAATCCTTAATTATACATATCAATAAAAGTTCACTAGTATTAGAGTGAGGGGAAGAAGGAGAATTAATGATCTTCAAAATTCCTGTTATTCCATCCACCTTCTCATGAGAAATAAGTATTTTATTTAGTAACTTAAGATAAGTTTAAGGAGCAAGGAGACGTCTAGGACTAGCCTAAAGAATGAAAAACTCTTCGAGATAATAGGGCATCTAGAGACTCTCAATCAACTGGCCAAATTATCCCAAATGAATACTGCTAATTAGCCAGATCTTTTAAAGTTTAAAGTTTCTAAATTTCTTTCCTTTCTATGAAGGCCATAAGCCAAGAGGATTTTCCAATTTTCATAGGCTCAGAAATTATTTTTCTTCAGACTTAGATCAGTTGCCCAAGAAACATGAAAACAAGTTGTAAAAAAAGAAGTGAAAAGCTTTGAAATACAGTGCTCTAAGTGTAAAACCTACAGCATAAATTATATTGATTTTATGTCTAATCTGTTCCTTAAAGTTTTATAAATTACTGTTAATTGTGTTAAGTAACAGCAATAATCACAGACATACCATTTATACCTTCTTTTATAAATGTGTTAATTTTTGTTAAAGGCTTATTTCTTCCTTAACACATATGATGATTGAATTAATTTTGATTACACAATTTAGGACTATAAAATAAATGCACAAATAAAACCAAGCACCCTAGAAATGTATTCTGCTTGTTCTATTTAAGTAGAGGCTCTTTCACTTCCCAGAAAACGACTTTGTGAACCAATGAAATAAGCCATGCAAAACCCACCCATTTAGCAGGGACAAGCTGCATCCATCAGACTTCTCCCTGAGGTCTGGGTGATCCCTACAACCCAACTCCTATATTCCCAATACCCCTCTTATTTTCCCAACTTCTGCCTTCCACTTCTGCCCATTAAAGAAATGGGCTGGAAAGTCAAAGTATCAGCGGTTTAAAACCTTATTTTTAATCCATTAGATTGGCAGAAGACTGTATAGACATTTTAAAAGTATATGTGTTTACATGCTCAGACACACATACATATACATAAAGTTTATGTAAATAGCTGGTCAAACTTTATTATCCCCTTACAGTACCAGATTATTAAGACAGAAAAACTGAAAACAGAGTTAATTTTGAGAGGCTGAATTAAAATCATTTCTATTAGATTAAAGACTTGTGTACCCAAAGCTGTTTAATAAGGAAACAAGAACAAAATCGTACAAATCACAGTTCAGACAGTTAATTTCAGAGGGATGCTGCAAGTGGTATAGCACACATATGAAACATAAAAGAAACTGTGATTAAATATAGGACATGCATTTTATAATTGTGCTTACCAGCTTGAGAGAAAGCTTCATGTAAAAATTGAAGGGATACAGGGAAAAAAAGAGAAAAAACAAGAGCATATCAGTAGAAGAGGAACTTTGTCAACTCTACTTGCTATAACATAACACATACATTCACCTGTCAGTTTGTGAAAATGAATTGGAGCAAATCTGTGCAAAAGTTCACAAGAGGGGCAAACCCTCACCAGAGGTTCTTTTAGCTACCATGCTGATAGAGCAAGTGAAAATGGAAGAGTGAAATTTGTGCTTATAATTTTTTATTTCTAATATCAGTACAATGTGACTCATGATCATTATATAGTGTGAAATTCATTATTTATCAGTGATAATAATCAGGTTGTAATTTATTCACCAATTTTGGAAAGTAAAGTCCCAGCCAGACTAAAGAAGTTTTATTATCCACGACCCAAAAGAGACTACTTTTGAGTATGACACATTTTTTGACCAGAGACAAAAAGTGTCTAGACAAGAAAAAAAAAATCTTCAAATTAAAACGAAAGGGAGTCAGCTAAGTGGTGCACTGGATAAAGTACTGGCCCTAGAGTCTGGAAGACCAGAGTTCAAATCCAGATGTTTACTAGCTGCATGACCCTGAGCAAGTCACTTAACCCTGATTGTCTCAAAAAAAAAAAAGTAAACTGAAAGGAAAAATGAAGGATGGCAATGTACTCTATGAGTGTTTCTTAAAGACACTAAGGATACTGTAACACACACACACACACACACACACACACACACACACACACAGCCTTCAGTTGTGTGAAAGTTTCTCAGAAATTTGTATAATGACTGCCATGAGACAATCCTTGAGTGAGGCAATCATGAGATGGTGCAGTGGATTCAGCACTGGGCCTGGAGTCAGGAAAACTGAGTTCCAGTCTAGCCTAAGACATTAGCTGCATGACCCTAGGCAAGTCATGGAACCTTTACCTCAGTTTCCTCAACTAAAAATGAGGTTAACAGCACCATAGTCTTAGAGTTGTTGTGAAGATCAAATAAAGAGAATATCTGTAAAAAAAAAATGCACAGCACCTTGTACATAGTAGGCACTATATAATACTTATTCCTTCCCCCACGAACCTGTATTTACAATTGAACATCACCTCTCTGAGCAAGGAGCCTCTGATTATTACACTATGAGCAAACACATTACCTTCTTTTCCTACCCTGGTCTCCATATCACTTTTTACCACTGGGTAGCATCTCTCTAGAATTTTTTAATATATCAACATTCTATAAGTTACTCAAGGATGCTGCTGTAGGTATAGTCCAGATAGGTGATGGGTATTGCACATATACAAGAGATTTTCCTTTGGACAGTCAAGGGTTTTAGCTGTGAAAGTTAATTATCTTAGTGATACCCACTGCCACAATGTATATCCTTACCTACCAGTGCTGGCACAGGCTCCCTGGTAGTTGTTTAAAATTGAGGACACCATCCCAAAACAAGAGCCAAAAAAAAATCAGAAAGAGCCTCAAAACTAGAAAAGGAAAAATGGTTTTATGTAATTCACTAATATATGAAAGACCATTTTGGGTAAGGAGGCAGTGTTTTTAATTTAGAAACCAATTTTTATGTTAATTGTCAAAAAATGAAAAAAAAAATTTATATAAAACAAAAACTGACATGCAGAAAATATGATTAATTTAAAATGACACAAATGGTTAAAAAACTGAAGCAGATATACAAATTTGTAGCAAGCGCCTCAAAAGGCAAAACGATTATCAGAAGTCACAAAGCACTAATACTTCACCTTTTTAAGGAGGTAAAAACTGATAAGGACTCAACACGTTGTTTTACTGTAGGTCATTTTTCACAGTTCAGATTTAAAAATTTCAGGTTCCCTTTGTTATGAAAAGTTGAAAATTTGTTTACAAAATGTCTATCAACTTTTTTGAATTTATCTTGAATGGACCTAAGTAAAACGTCTAATTCTTCACAGCTAAGTCAAAGTTATCAATTCTTCCTAAATAACATAGAAAATTTTAAGATCCAACTTTAAGGAACTAGATAGTCAATCTTTCTGATTTAACATTCAATCTTTATAAAGATGTAAAAAAAACCTCAGCTAGAGCAAGTAACCAAATCAAACCATATTTCTGAATGCCATATAAGAAAAATGTAAAGTTATAATACATACTAAATGCATGAAATGCTTTTATGAAATCTAACAAGAGAAGATACCCTACATTATATTATTGTCCAGCTAAAATTTAAAAAATGTGACATGCTAGTAAATAAAAAACTACTTTCATTTATTAGAGAAATAGAGAAATGGGCATTCAGGGAGGAGGAAGAGGATTAAATTTTTAAAGAAAAGATACATAAAAATGAATAGAGAAAAAGGAGCTGCTATGATAGTTTTGACCTAGGCAGTTGAAATGAAGTGCTTTAGCATTCCTGTGAACTTTAGCATAGATACATTCAATACAAGTTGAGTCCTTTATACATACAGACAACACTTATGGCGCACAGCATAAGAATTCCTAAATAATGACCTACAAAGCAGGTATACTTTAATACATAAAAGTACGCTACGTGCACTACAATCTACATAAACACTGCTAATTTAAGGCATTAATAATCAAACTAGCCCTTTTCTGTACATTTAATAAATGATAGAACCATAGAAATCACAAACTTTCATATATTTTAAAGACAACTAATTTTTAATAATATATCATTTAAGTATATCAAGGTCTCTAAAAAGTAAACAAAACAACTATTTAAAAATCCAACAGAGATAATTAAATGTTTCAATTTAAAGGCAAATTCTAAAGTTTCTGTCATGAAATGTGAACAACCATTCATAACCTAAGGTCTTCCAACCCAAATACAGCCTTTTAAACAAACAGAAATTTATTGTTAGTTTGAAATGGTGAGCCTACCAATTACTTAATTCATTGTTAGAAAACTACTCTTGCTTGCTAAGAGAATATTCTAAAGTTTCATTATTTACATTCCCAGAAGAAGGAAGAACAGAAAACTGCCTGTATAAGACAGTGTACTAAACTAGCAGGCAACAAAGAAGAGCCTTGGGAACCACAAAGCATCAATAACACATGAGGAAACATGAAGCCAGTGATTCATGTGCTATTGGGCAGGCATAGACACTAACCTCATATACAAAAACAGGGGATAGAAGTAAATCAAGGTTTAAAGTGAAAATTTCAAATTTTGATATGCCAATTGCTTATTCATGCTTCATGAGGCATTTTTTTCTCAATAATTTCTCTCATTAGTTACTGCTCATAAATATATTTATAACATGATTTGTATTGGATGTGCCATAAAAAAATAAGCAATACAAATGAATGGCACTGAGTTTATGTCACAAGGAGAGTCTTTGTGATGATGCTCTAGTTCTATGAAATTCAGTTGGTCAATTAAGAATAAAAGAGCCATAATCAGAGTAAGTCCAAGCACATGCAGTGTTTGCTTTTGTACGGTAGCTGTAATTCTAGGAAATAGCTGCACTAGAACTGGAACTGAAAAGAAGAAAAAGGAATGGAGTGTGCTGCGGTGGCTAAGAACTTTTGTTTAAATATTTTAAGTTCCTAAGTAAGGTCATCAACAAAAAGGTCATTTTCATTGCAGTATAATTTATTTCTCTTTTCCATGCTCAAATGCAAAGACCCTCCAAGTGACCTCTGCTGCCATTTCATATTGCAAGCAGTTAATCAAGTTATTTCCAAAATGGATTTGGGTTCCCCAGTAGTTGCCTGGTAAATGGGGTTAGTGGCTGTGCAATCATCACATGAAAACTTACAACATATTCCCTAGCCTCAATGGCATAGGTAGGTTTCCCTATAGTCCTCTTCATAAGTTCTTTGTGAAAAGAGAAAGACTGAGTCTGCCGATGAATCAGCAAGAGAAAATATACATTTGTTAAAAGGGGACAAGTGGAAACCAACTTGACATCTCATTTTTTTGGTTCTATAGTAAGGAAAAAAGGCAATAATTTAAACCTCTGACAGCATTTGGTAAATATCTTTGAAATACTAAGATCAACAACGAAGATTTTTTTATTAAAGAATTTTAAGGTACAAAAAAAGCCCATTTACTCAAACCAGAAAAAGAAATCTTAATTTATAACAGGTAAAAGGAACAATGTATTCCCATAACAATGAGAGCAAAAGAAAATATTCTATCTGGTCTTACTCTGATTTAATCTTTTGCAATAAAGATGAAGTAACATTGTTTAATGTTTAGGGGATATACCAATGAAAACACTTTGAATTATCACACCTTAAGTGTAAATAAAGTTGATCAGATCAACAAAATATGGTCAAAAATATAAATAAACTTCATTATGATAGATAGTATTAACAGCTCCCATTTAAAAAACCCACAAATACATATATACACATAGGAAAACAAAAAACACAAAACTCCTCAATTTTGTTTATTAAAATGTTTAGGAAAGAAATCAAATTGTTCTACAAATATTTGCAAAGACTTTTATACTTTAGTGGTAAAAATAGGACAGCATATAATGTAAGAAGACTAGAATAGAAGTCAGGATACCTAGGTTGTGGTCTCTATGTGCTACCTTCTGTGTGATCTTAGCAAAAATTACATTATCTCTCTGAATCTCAGTGTAAAATGAGTGCATGATCTCTAAAATGAGGTGGTCAGACTAGATAATCTGTGTAGTTCCTTTCAATTCTAAAATCTTATGATTCTGAGAAATATGTACCTGAAAAGAAATTCAACATAGGAATTTCTGATTCTCCTAAGATGATTTTTTTATGTAAATAATCTTCAAAATAATTATCATTCCAGTTATGGAAAGGAAAACTGCTAGTAGCTAAAAATTTAATCACAATCTGTTTCTACAGACAAATACAGGTAAACAGACGTTAATTTTTTTCCATGCTTAAAAAATATTTTTTATAAATTTGTTTTTGACTTGTTCAATAATATTTTCCCAAACAGAACCTACTAACTTTTCTTTTGCAATGTGCTTCTTCTAATGTCTTGCTTCCTCTCAAAGACAAGGAAGTCAAAATATTAACAAATCTGAACTAAATGAAAAACAAATTAACTGGCTAAAGGGGACCAAATGTTTTTCTATTTGCCAAATGTGTTTTCCATTCAACTAAAATTTTATAATAGAAAATGGCCAATTCAGGTAATAAAAATGATTGCCAAGTTTTATTGTCAAATAAATGGGACTACATTGGATTTTTTTCCCCAACAACTTTTAGTAAGATCAAAGTTATTAAAATGTTGCCTTTCTTAAAATGAAAGCAAACTAGGACGCTAGGTGGTGCAGTGGATAGAGCACCAGTTCTGGAGTCAGGAGGACCTGAGTTCAAAGCCGACCTCAGCCACTTGACACTTACTAGCTGTGTGACCCTGGGCAAGTCACTTAACCCCATTGCCTAGTTTAAAAAAACAAAAAGAAAAAGAAAAAAATGAAAGCAAAGTAATTAGACTTCTCTTTCTTTACAAAGTTATGTTTGGTTTTCATGATATTTTCCAGATATCACTTACTTATATTGTATAAAATTCAGGTTTTTTTAACTTTCCTTTGACATTCAAAGAAAATTATGACATAAATCAAATGCATTCAATTAAGTCTAATAGATTGTGGATGTCTAATGGAGGAAAGGCAGTATGTTGTACAATTTAACAAATGGTATGAAAGTATAAAAATACAACATGATATTATTAAAAGAAAATGCAAAGATCATACTTATTATGAAGTATTCTTCACAAGCTCAGTAATTAGCTTTTATTAAAAAAGTTTATCCGATTTATAGTGAAGGCACAGCAAATATCAAATCTCAGCAATCTAACCAAAGCACCATGATGAGATGTTTGCATTTCTTTGATGACAAGGTGAGAAACAACTGACAAGGAGAGAAGGTAGAAGACAGAAAATATGAAAGCTGGCATGAACCACTGAGCTGTTGCCTCTTCACAACTGTTAACTATGGAACACAATGTAATCATATACTTTAGAGTCAAATTCCATATCCTAAGTTGCTCCCTTGATATCTCTGGGAAAATTATTATATTTCAGTTTCTTAATTTATTGTATTATGTTAAATGACGCAAGTTATTTGCTCCATTGCTACCTAGGTCCACAAATACATTGTTCGTGATAGTACTTTTCACTATACAATGAGGAAAAAGCATTCTGAGATTTTTAAACAAAAGGTACTCTCTCTTTATAAAGATGAAGCCATTTTAATCCTTTACTAGAAAATTAACTAACGTAAGCATTAAAAATGCTTTACTCTCTGTCTCAATCCAATGTTTTTAAATAGGTGAAATGCCTATTTACAATGAACAATTCACTGGTGATAATAAATTTCTTTCTGGTAACAGTTACATCTAATTATGAGGAAAGTATAGAAGTACATCCTCCCTCAAGGGCTGATAGAGTTTATAACACTTAAGTATTGATGGATAGGAATAATATCCATCTTTGGGCTAACCATATTATAAAAGACTGGATACAGTCATGTCATGTATACAATCAATGCTACAGGAGCTATGATTTGATTCTTAGGATATTCTAATCTGAAATTTTACTGATTATATATTTCACATCAGTCCTCCTTTTAAAGATAAGCCCTTCATTTATTCTGTTCTAATAATTAGGTACATTATCAGTCCTTAATAAATTCTCATAAATAGCTATTTGCTCCCTGGTGATTTATAGTAATTCTCTAAAATTCTGGGCTATAGATGACAATAACTTGTTCTAAACATGATTCACACATAGAAGATACTTAATAAAATGTAGAGTGAGTAGACAAGTAAACAGTTCACCTATTTTGTAAAGATCAAGGTGAAACACTAAAGTCTCATATGCTCTTGCCAAAAATTAAGAGAATCATTCCTCCATATACTGCTATAACAAACAGACATGTGTTCTGTAGTTTCACTGTGAAATTCTTGATCACAATTGATCATAAATTCTTCTTTCTCTCACTTTTTTGAGGCTATAGTGAAACACAATAGTCATTCACAAACAAAACTCGGTACAGAGAACAGAAAGTGCAACAAAAGCGCGCGAGAGACAGCTATCTAGAGCAGAACTTACCCCACGCTTTAGACTCCTGAAGCAGTGGATTTTGGGTTTGGAGGTCATGAACTCGTTGAAGCGATGGGAGAGGGGCTCCTTTTGCTGCTTGGGAGACTGGGGGCCGTTGGGAACAGCAGAGGGTGAGGCAGAGGCAGGGGGAGGAGGGGGGGGCTGATGGGGGGATGTTAAAAGGGACATAAGCTACGTATAAGAGATGGAGCAGTGAGAGAGTAAAAACCAGAAACAAGAAGACACAAAACAAAAATAAGCATCAAATAATATTTGAAGTACGAAGCAATTAAAACACAAACAATTAAATATTTATGCCATGGTCCAAAAGAAAACATATAAAATGTGTTAAAACAAGACGATAAAAAGTGAAGGTTTAGTAAGTAATGCAACAGAAAGAACAGCAAGAAATAGTTGATAAAAAGCTCATGCAGACTTTTACATGCAAACTGCAGTTCATTAAGTTATTCTTTACTAGTTCTACACATAAAGTAAAAAAAGAAATAGTGCTCAGATACCTGAACTGACACAAATCAATGGAAGAAGATTTATGTGAGCACTCAAAATTACTCTAGTATCAAGAAAACAGCAAGGCTTATCATCTTTTGTGTTTCTGAATTATGGGTAGACTATCCTAAGTAAAGCAGAAACATTGCCTTGATCATATTTTATAACCCCAGGTTAATGCTGACATGTAGTAGAATCCCAGTATCAAAACTAAAAAAAAAAATTTTTCACAGATACAAATTAACATAAGTTCAAAAGTGGGTTAATGAATGATAAAGGTTCAATAAAAGTATTGTGGAAAATTTATTCAGAATTCCCTCTCCCAAACCAAGTTAACACAGGTTTCAAGAATTTAGAAACATGGAAATAGTGATGTAAAGCTGCCCAGAGTAATCAGTTTGTTAGTAGGCATGACACAATGTAAGTACCATACGGCATCTGAGTTACAAAAAATGGCTATGGCAAAGACATAACCATCCACAAAAAATAAAAGCAACACAATTTAGAAATCTTCTTTTTAAAGGTAAATAGAAAGTTACAAAATAACACATCCTTTTTTTGTATTCTGAAATTTAACATTTAAAAAATCTTAGTTGAAAATATCACAAGACAAAGAACCATTGAAACTCCCAGAGTTCAAACCAGCAGTACCTTATTTTTTTTGATGAAGGGCCACAATTTTCCCTTGGACTTGCTAGCAAATTTGAGCTCTGTTTTGCTGTCCCCTTTGGAATTTGAAAGACTAGTTTCAGATATAGTACGCTTCATTGGTTGCGTATAATCCTCAAATTCAATGTCTCCAGGAGGTTCAAACCCTGATTTGTAGGCTTCTATTACCAACTGTGAATCCTGAAATGACAAAAAAAATGTATTTGCATTCAAATAGGTGTACAATGAATTACAAAGCTGTACTTTATTAGGATAATTAATTTAATATAGTCAAACTACACATGCAGTATCTATAAAGTCCTCTGCAAATCTTTTCTTTAAAAAAATTTTTTTTAAGGCAATTGGGGTTAAATGACTTGTCCAGGGTCACACAGCTAGTAAATGTTAAATGTCTGAGGCTGGATTTGAATTCGGGTCCTCCTGACTTGAAGGCCAGAGCTCTATTCACTGTGCCACCTAGCTGCCCCTCTGTAAATCTTAAAGTGCCACAAATAAGTATGAGCTACTAAATTGATTGGCTTGATGTACAGGATGTTGTACAAAACAGTCACGTGACAGTAAATGGTACTTTTTCACTGTCATTTTATATATGGAAAAAGAATGTTACTAAAGACCACTTAATTAAAAAGACTGAATATATACAACTACCATCAAGTTTCTTTGGGAAAAAAAATGATGTGTTATTCCTCCTATCAAACATCTCAAAGCAATTATCTAATTCAGAAAAATTTGTAAAGCAAAAGGCTTACTATCATTGCTCTAATTAAAATATGTAGAGACTGATAAAACATTATGTCTCCAACAGATTTACTGACTGAAGCATTTATTAAACACTAAATATGTACAAGGCGCTATGTGCTAAGTAGTGGGGGGGGAGGGAGATAAAAGACATATAAGACATGGTTCTTGTCCTCAAGAAGCTCACAATCTAGTAAACGTGATAAGAAATATATACAAGTATAAATTAGAATATTTATGAGTATAAAAGAATATTAAAGTACCATATGATTAGATGAAGGAGAAATACTGCCAGAAATGCAGAGGGAAAGCTCAAGCAGGTTCATTTAAAAGTTAATAGACATGACTTGCCTTCTCTGTGGCAATCTTAGGTTGCCTAATAGCTCCATAAATAGATTCCAGAACAAACTAAAGCACTGTGGTTTTTTTTAAAAACAATCATATTAACAGATATTTTTTCATAAGCAAAACTTAGCTTTTTCCATAAGTCCAAAGCTGTGTAAAAAGGTAATGTTTTTTCTCTTATTTTTAGTTGAATGAGTCATGGAATACAAATCTCCTCACAACATATATTATTGCAAATATAATTTGCTGAAAGGCTATAAAAAGCATTGTAGAATATGCGTATGGATGTATATACCAGTCATATTAACAGAAAAAAAGGACATTTATTTTATTAAGACCACCTGAAGAAAATTGTAAATCAGAACAAATGATTGTTAATATAATTTTAGATTTTAAATGAAATTATGAGTATCCATTCCACCGTTTGGCTATTGTGTCAATTTGTAAAGATAATATCACTTAAACACTAAAAAGGAAAAATTGTTAAATTTAAATAATTTCACTTTGGCTTTGGCAATTCCAGAAAACAACTGTCTATTATGTTTTGTACTTAGTCCTAGGATTAATAAGATATGCTGGATAACACTGACTTATTGACTGTACAACTCCAGCAGTAAGAATACTACCACAGAGCTCTCTTTAAGAGATAAGAAACCTGGGAAGATCTGTATGAATTGTTACAGAGGTAAATAACCAGGAGAATGATTACACAATGAGCACAAGAAGCAAAGAAAACAAAACTGAAAAGACTTCAGAACACTGGAAAATGCAGCGATCAGTTGTGATTTCTGAATACTCAGGGTGAAGCATACTTCCTACAGTAGCAGAGTGGTGGTAGAATAAATGTGTGACATAATGAAACATCCATTTTTAGACATGGCCAATGTATTGGTTTCATTTTCTTGGATAGTACTTATTTGTTAGAAAGGGAACTATTGATTGGAGTGTACTGGGGGAGTGACTGGGAAGTATCAGTAAAAGAAAAAAAGAAAAAAGAAATAAAAACACTTATTTTTAAAATTAGATTTTATTTTTTCAATCAATAAACATCCTCCTCTGCTTCCCATCTCTCTCTCATTAAGAATGGAAGAAAAACAAAACCCTTGTTACAAACATGTTAACATATTTATTTTTATTTTTTAAAATTTTATTAATTTATTTTGATATATCAACAATCACTTCCATATGCTTTAGAGTTGAAAATTTTTCTCCCCCTTCCTCCCCCCCCACCCTCCCCAAGGCGGCGCACACTCTGATGTAGGCTTTACATTTACATACCCCTTAAACATATTTTCACATTAGTGAAGTTGTAATTAAAAATTAAAACCAATAGGAGGAACCATCAGAAAGAGGAAACCAAACTCAACAGAGGGTAAAAATAAGTGATAGCAATTCGACTTCCATAGTTCTTTCTTTGGATGTGGACGGCATTTTCCACCCCGAGGCCTCTGGAGATGTCTTAGATCCTTGTAATGTTGAGAAGGGTTCAGTTTAACAATATTAGTCATTGCACAACGTGGCTGTTATTGTGTACAACATTCTCCTGGTTCTGCTCACTTCACTCAGCATCAGACCATATAAGTCTTTCCAGGTTTTTCTGAAGTCAGCCTGTTCATCATTTCTTATAGCACAATAGTATTCCATTTACATTCATATACCACAACTTGCTCAGCCATTCTCCAGTTGATAGGCATCCTCTCAATTTCCAATACTTTGCCACCACAAAAAGAGCTGCTATGAATATTTCTGTACATGTGGGTCCTTTTCCCATTTGTTTGATCTCTTTGGGATATAGCCCTAGAAGTGCTATTGCAGAATCAAAGGGTATGCACATAAAATATTTATTTTTAAAAGAGAGATAGTGTAGCTGCCACACAAATCCAGGAACTATATAAACACAATTACAAAGCACTTCACACAAATAAAGTCAGATCTAAATAATTAGAAAAATATTCATTGCTCATGCATAGGCCAAGCCAAAATAATGAAGAAATCAGTTCTACCTGAATTAATTTATTCAGTGGCATACCAATCAAACTACCAAAAAAATTTTTATAGAGTTAGAAAAAAATCATAACAAAATTCATCTGGAAGAACAAAAGATCAAGAACATAAAGGGAATTAATGAAGACAAATGTGAAGAAGGGTGGCCTACAGGTACTAGATCTCAAACTGTATTATAAAGCTGTAATCACCAAAATTATCTGGTCCTGGCTAAGAAACAGAATGATGAATCAACAGAACAAATTAGGTACACAAGACTTAGTATCAAATGGCCATTGTAACCTAGTGTTTGATAAACCCAAGGACCTTTTGGGGCAAAAACTCATTTATTTGACAAAAATTGCTGGGAAATATGGAAAACAGTATGGCAGAAACTAGGTATGGACCAACATTTTATATTGAATACCAAGATATGGTTAAAATGGGTACATGACTTAAACATAAAGGGTGACACCATAAGCAAATTAGGAGAGCAAGGGATGGTTTACCTGTCAGATCCATGCTGAGAATAAGAATTTATGACCAAACAAGAGATAGAGAGCATTACTAGATGTAAAATGGACAATTTTGTTTATAATTAAGCTAAAAGGACTTTACACAAACAAAATCAATGCAATCAAGATTAGAAGGAAAGCAGAAAGCTGAGAAATAATTTTTACAGCAAGTTTCTATTACACAGGACTCATTTCTCAAATATATAGAGAACTGAGTCAAATTTATAAGAATGTAAATCATTCCCCAAATGATAGTCAAAGGATATGAACAGGTAGTTTTCAGATGAAGAAATCAAAGCCAGATAATAGTCATATGAAAAAAATGCTCAAAATGACCACTGATTAGAGAAATGAAAATTAAAATAACTGAGATACCTATTAGATTGGCTAATATGACAGCAAAGGAAAATGATAAATGTTGCAGAAGATGTGGGAAAATTGAGACATTAATGCACTGTTTGTGAAATTGTGAACTGATTTAACCATTCTGGAGAGCAATTTGGAACTATACCCAAAGGGCTATAAAACTGTGCCTACTTTTTGATCCAGCAATACCACTACTGGGTCTGTATCCCAAAGAGGTTCAAAAAAGGACTTATTTGTACAAAAATACTTACAGTGGCTCTTTTTGTTGAAGCAAAGATTTGGAAATTGAAGAGATGATCATCAATCTGAACAAGTTGTGGTATATGATTATAATGGAATATTACTGTGCTATAAAGAAATGATGAACAGCCTGAATTCAGAAAAACCTGGAAAGACTCATGCAAACTAATGCAAAGTGAATTGAGCAGAACCAGCAGAAAATTGCATGCAGTAACAGCAACATTGTATGATGATTAATTATGAATGCCTTGGCTATTCTCAGCAATACAGTGATCCAAGACAATTACAGAAGACTCAGGATGAAAAATGCTGTCTATGTCCACAGAAAGAACTGATAGAGTCTGAGTACAGATTGAAGCATACTATTTTTCACTCTTTTTTTTGTTGGGGGCGAGGAGGTTCCCCCCATGTGTTTTCTTTCACAACATGACTAATATGGTAATATGAATAAGTATAACCTATATCAAATCACTTACCAGCTCAGGAAGAAGAACGTGAGGGAGGGAAAAAGTTTGAAACTCAAAATAAATGTTAAAAATTATCTTTGCATGTAACTGAGGAAAAAAATAAAATATTATTAAAAAAAACAAAAGAGAGAGAGAGTGACAGAAATTAAAACAAATATAATCTAGGGAGCATACATGCAGAAAAGAGATAGACTATACATGACTCCAGAAAAAAGGAAACATTTAATTGCAACATTTCTGATGAATTCAATTGTGATAGATGTAAGATTTATTTTGAAGAATAAATATGGTACAAAATATATGGAGAATACAGAAAAGAACTGGGTATGGGAAAAGTCAGGCATAATGGGGATATACCACTTCAAATGTTTTATTTTGTGTGCATCCAGAAAATATATATATAGAATTAAATGTTTAAAAATATTTTGCATCTTTGAAGAGTAATGTTAGCTAACTTCAACAGTGTAACACAAAATTAGCACAAGAATTTTCTTGCTTGCAGAAAAGGTTATAACTAAATAAAGAC